CATACCAAATTGTAACAGCTGAATAACATAATCCGTCTTCTCTACAGAGATCAGTTTGGGAACCTCTAGTTTAAATTTAAGAGTCCCACAGTTCTTGAATGGGGTTGCAAAAAGCCACAAAACAGTCATGACATGGTCTCCAAATGTTGCATTGTAATAAATATATCCACACAAGGCTGCTATATTGTGGTACATCTTCATTTTTTGATGCAATATTACAATGCAATGCCAAAGAACCGCATCATTGTTTTGTGATTTTCGGAGACTCCATCCAATTGCATCTCTCCCTCCTAGGTTACTTCTGGGAGTACATTACAGCAGAGCACCAGCTCGGCTATAGTGAAGGTTAAGACCGGCTTCCTGTTTAAAACTAGATTCTAAGTGCTCTAAAATCTGCAGAGATGGTAAGTTATACTGACCTAAGTGCCAGTATAGACAGTTTCTCCCACCAACATAGCTACCACCTCTCACGGAGGCAGGGGTTATTAAGCTGTCAGAAGAGTTCTCTCCTGTCAGCATAGACCATCTTCACCAAAAGCACTACAGCAGTGTAGCTGTGCCACTGAAAATCATGTAGTTCTCACTACTACGTCTACGCTACAACTATCTAAACAATCATTAACTACTAACACTTCTCTTCTGTTCAAAAAAAAAGGGGGGAGAGAGTGGCAAATTAAATGGTAAAAAAAAAACCCAATAATTAAACAACCAAAACACTTTGTTAATGCAGAGATAAGGTTGCCGGAGATAACTCATTCCCTCCCAGAACGTGAATCCAGTCAAGCTCAAACTTCTGAAAACCCAGCACACACAGAGTTAAGGTAAATGCCCATGTAACCTTAACTCTGTCCTCTGCGCGGCATACCACCTAAACCTAGACTTTCCCCTACCTATCATTAAATTCACAGACTGCTCTCATCTCCCACCTCATTACTAGCAATACCCATAGCAAGCAGGCTGCAGTGCCCTGCTACTGACACCACCTACGCAATTCTGTATCGAAATGATGCAGACTAGAGCCTCAGATACACATGAACCTCTTTCCTTTGATAACACACTGTGGAAAGAGGGAGGGGCTCAGACCCAGATCTTCTGATATCAGAGACCAAACTGTCCCACCTACCTCCTCCACCATTCAGTACAGCTATGGCTACCTCTAACACAGTAATTCCCAGTAGCTATTGCCAGCTCCAGCGTGGGGCACAGTTAAGATTATGTGGCATTTACCCCAACACTGTATTTCCTGGTTTTCAGGAGTTTTGCCAAACTTAATGTTCTGGAAGGGCACAGGCTGTTACCAGCAACCTTACCTCGGTGTTAACAAAATTTTTACCATTTAATCAAGGAAGGAGCTGTTCCTCCTCATTCTTTCTTCACCTTGGAGCAAGGAGCAGTTCTGGTTCTATTTCCTGAATGCTCAGAGGGAACTGGATGGGGAGGGAAGAAGATGGGATCCCAGTGACAGGGTGGATCACATTAACAACAGATAAATGGGTCCCACACCACCACTCAGCATCCTTCTGATATCTTGCAAGGGTAATATAGCATGGGAGCAGTCTTGTGATCAACTCTCTGTTCACTGTGTCTCCGATCAGGTGCAGCTCCAGTCAGACCAATGGACCCCATGCAACCTACATATCACTCAAAAGCTGTAGCCTGAGTACCACCGGTTTTACAAGATAAACAGTTACTGTATAACTCTTCTTGAAATAAAAGGGTTCCATAGTATCAACAACATTAACATTTAGTGACTGTGGTCCTGATTCAGTAAACTGACTAGAGCACATGCTTAAGTGCATTGCTGAATCAGGACCTGACTTTGCAACTTGTTTAATATGCAATAGTGTTTTCTCCATGTAAAGCTAACCTACCTTAAACAAAGTCCATGCTATTGATGAACAAAATAAAGAGTGCACATACTATATTTAATAAACCAACATGTTTTACGTGTGCTACAAGATTCTTAAATGTTTATTAAGACAGCCAAGTTACCTTGTTATAAGAATTTACTTGCAACATATTTTCACTTACCTAAGAACAGCAATCTCTTGAACTGTAATAGCTCTTTTATCTTTGGTCCCCATGTAGGAAAATATATTTGGCTTAACTCTTAAAAAAAAAAAAAAAAAAAAAAAAAAACAGTTATGAAAATTTTAGATTTGATACTGAAGGAAAGTTACCATATATTTTGTTAGCAAATACGGTAGAATCTCAGAGTCACAAACACTCGGGAATGGAAGTTGTTCATAACTCTGAAATGTTTGTAACTCTGAACAAAACGTTAAGGTTGTTCTTTCAAAAGTTTACAACTTAACATTGACTTAATACAGCTTTGCTGCTGCTTTTAACCATCTTAATTTAAATTAAACAAGCACAGAAACAGTTTCCTTACCTTGTCAAATCTTTTCTTAAACTTTCCCTTTATTTTTTTTTGTCGTTTACATTTAACACAGTACTGTAAAGTATTTGGGGGTTGGGGGGTCTGCCTGCTGCCTGATTGCATACTTCTGGTTCCAAATGAGGTATGTGGTTGACCTGTCAGTTTGAAACTCCGGTGTTCGTAACTCTAAGATTCTACTTTACTGCCTATACGCAAGTGGACTCCTTTATGACTGTTATTGTCACTTTTACTTTGAATAATTTGGGGGGTGGGGGGGGGGTGTATAAAGTAAAAAAATTCAATGGAATAATGCACAACAATTCATCACTATTTAAAAAAACCCTCAGTGCATGCCTATTTTTCTGTGTGAAATTCAAATAGTGCATTTATCTCTATGTGCAGCTATCTGTATACTGAACACATACTCATGTAAGCATGTAGTCAGTGCACTTCAATATTGTTCCGTTTCCATAACTGTTTCTTTCCCTCTCAACATTATCATTTTCCTTTGCACTCCATGCAGAATAAGAGAAATGCTGCTGTCAATAGATTCCCTGCTATCCCACTTGTGTGTACCAAGTGGTAGCACTATTGCCATTACATGCATATTCTCTATCAAGCTCTGCATGAACCGCTATAGTATGTTCCCAGGCATATGGTTTTTCAAATACAAGTATCACCTTCACCATGGTGGTGCTGATTTCTCAGAGCCAAACATTCATAAACTTAGATTGTGAACTCACACTTATAAAACAACTAGTGAGTAGTGTCACTGATGGGGGTGGGAGGACAAAAAACACAAAGACTTGCTTGGCCACAAAGAAAGGCAGAAAGCCAAGGCTTATGTGACTGGTGAATCCCTCACAGCAAGCAGAGGGAGACTGGTCACCACCTTCCTTTCACAGAAAAAGGAGTTACAATGATTAGGACAGGACAAAGAAAGGAAGATCAGTTACAGCTTGTCTACACATGGAGCTATTGTGTTTTAAAGTTTACACTCTACCTTAATCTGAACTAACTGCCCCAAATGCAGTGGCTACAAGAACTGATTTGCATATGAATGACCACAACACTATTTTTAAGTACATCCACTGTATGTTTGGACAACTGCACATTCAAAATCCTTAAAGTAAAAGTTATGCTGCATGGCCTGGTCTTCACTGGGGCTTGGTCTACACTAAAAAGTTAGGTAGACCCAGCTACATCACTCAGGGGTGTGAAAAATCGTTAAGCCGATCTAACCCTGGAGTGGACAGTGCTAGATCAACAGAAGAATTGTTCCATCGACCTAGCTACTGCCGCTCAGGAAGGTGGATTACCTACACCTCTCCCATTGGGCTAGGTAGCGTCTACACTCAAGTGCCACAGCAGTGCAGCTGCAGCACTGCAACTGGGCCGCTGTACTGTTTCAAAGTATAAACAAGCCCTGAGAATAAAAGTGCATACTTAACTTCAGTTAAGAATGCACCAACTCAAGGTGAAATCCTAGTGAATACAGGACAGTTTGTAGTCTTCACACAGGTTAGGAGGTCAAACACACATCTTTCCCCAGTGAAGACCAGGCCTGAAAGCATGCCTGAAAGTATGCCATTTTTGATTATTTAGAACGATTTTATTAACAGAGAAGGATTTCAAATTTGACCTTCAAAAACAAAGATATTTTGCAGTTACTAAATATATTGTGATAATACATTTCCTGTGTGGTTTTGGCATAAGGATTTTAAAGCAGAATGTTTACATTAAATATTTAGTTGTTTTTATTGTGTCTGAAAGCAACAAAGTAATATTCTTACCTTAAAAATTTTGATAGTACATTAATAGCATCCATTGTATCCTTGTTTTCCTTGTATAATACGAAGTGGCAGTAGCTTCCCCTAGATTTTGGCCATGAATGTTTTCTTGGATCTTTAAAACAAAGAGTTAAGACATACAAAAGGACAATTTGTAAACTATGTTATCAGTTGTTATTCTCTTTTGCAAACAGGGTTCATTTACTTGCCACAGTAGTTTCCATTTTCAAACAAACATGTGACTCTCAATGACTTCAATTAGCTTCCATCTGCTTCTTTCTTAAGAAAATAAAAGTATTGAATGGAAAAAGTTGGTCCAGTAAAAGATTACCTCACCCACCTTTTTTCTCTGGCAGTTATGAAGTATGAAAAAATGCACTTTCTGCAGATCCGCTGTGGTGTAAATTTATACTGCAATACAAGATTTTAGCCATGTGACTTACACAAACATTACCAGGAGTTGCATGACAAAAGAAAGTGTCCTCCTGTTGGAATATTTTCCCAGTGGTTTATTTGTTGCCACAGCCCCAATCTCATTCCGACTGAAGTAAATCCAAGTTTTACCAGTGACTTCACTTTGAACAACATCCGGCACTTTGGGTTTGATGCAATGCTTGTTGAACCAAATGGGAAGACTCCACTGGTCATTGGATCAAGCAAGCCCTTTATAGTCTTCACAAAAAAGTAAACTATGTTATTTTAAGGATGGCATTAATAATGTATTATTTATTTCTACAGCATTGTGCATGCAACACTAGAGCTTGGGTTATAACATATAAAAATTTTAAGGGCTTTATAATTGGTAAGAATTCACTTTGAGGTGAAGTTTGGTAACAAAGTCTCACAAGAGAGTCAAATTTGGGCCAATTTTCTAAATTAATGAATAAGTCAAGCTCACCTTGGGTATTTTCAAGTTATGTAATGTGTCTCTAGTCTAAAATATGGTTCATTATATTGTTTAATCACTTTTGGTTTCATAGAAAGGGAAACAAGACTGTCAAAATATTAAAAAGTCATTACTGCACAGTAACATTTTCAAAGATAAATATGCATTGCATAATCATCTATCATTGTAGGCCCAATCCTCCTCCTAGAGAGGCCAACAAGAGTATGGCAATTGACTTCAGTGGGAGTAGGAACAGGCCCTTTGGGGTTGTTTTTTTAATAAAGGCACATAAGGAAATTAAATACTAAAAACTAACAGCTTGTCTAAATGAGAAAGTTTTACACATATAAAACCACCATGTGGACACTCTCGTATAAGAGTGTCTTTTTCATTTGACCTTAAACCCTTTCCCAGGCAACAAAAGCTAAATTAAAAAAAGTACTCTTATTCCAGTATAAGGGTGTCCACATGTGGGGAGGAAGAGTGGTGGTGGTGGTGGTGGTTTTACACATAATAATAAATAAATAATAATAATAATAATAATCTTTGTTTAAATTAACATTTTAGGTTATACTGAAAAATACTTATCTCCTGTAGGGAAGGCCTCAGTTTAAAATATGGATTTTTTTTATAAAAAATTACTAAAGCCAGAAAGAAGAGTTGGTGTTTCTTTTTAAAGGAAGCAATATCATCAGCCCTAACTCCTCACTGAAAAATAACTCCTCATATGGAGTACTACAATATTCAGAGAGAACACAAGCAGAGTTGTCTATCTCCCTTGGCGAAAAAAAAATGCCATGAACATTTGTATGCAAACCATGGACTGTACTGGCCATCAATGTTTAAGCGAAGTCTCCACTGAAACCAAAAAATTGTTCATAATATTAACGATATGGTCCACAGTCGTTTTGTTAGGAGTTCACTGGCTCCTACTTATACTCCTTCTGAAGTCATCAATCATCTGTGATCTCAATTTACTCTTGTACAAATTATAACTTTAAAGTAGCAAATTAGGTTTAAGGAACAAAGATTGCACAAAAATTTCTGTCATTAAAATAGGGCAAGGGGAAAAAACCAAAGTGATTCACAGGGAGAATCATTTCCAAGTTGAAAGTTTCTCCACAATGCATCGATTGCTCAATTTTGCACACTTTCACTTGGATTTCTTTCAAAAACACCAGCTCTGATCAAAACCAAAGTAAGGCGACCCAGGAACCTAGGCACACACCATGCCATCTGCTACTACAACCCCATCCCTGTGCCATGGTGCCATCCATCCCACTTGGAGGGGTGGTGGCTGGAGTCCCTCTTTCCCCTGCCAAAGCAGCAGGGATGGTACCAGAGCCCACAATACTTACCCCCACAGCCAGTGTGTCTCTACTTTGATAGGTGGGTGGAGCTGCCTCCACTCTCTTTCTCCTGCTGCACATACAGTCCTCTGCTGGGGTGGTGTTGTCACAGCCTCCCAGATCAATGGGTCTTGGAGTCAACGCCCCATTGAGATGAATAAGACAATTCATACCTCTCAGAGGTATTGCTTCAGGCTATCTGCACATTCAGGCAGACATTGCTGCATCACTTATTCTTGATTCATGTTTTCAAGCTTTTTATTGCAACCACAAGGGCTAAAACCCATGAATCTTAGATCCTGATGTAAAACTCACATGACTCTGGGAATTGGGACTCTAAACATAGAACTATGAAGTGAAATCCTGCCTTACTGACGCCAAGTGGAGTTTCACCATTGATTTCAATGGGGCCAGGATCTCACCCATCATCCCTATGCCTTAATCCAGCCCTGGTCCTGACCTTGCAAGCCATTCCATGTGGGTGGACTACTGGGTCCACACCAACTGACTTGCAAGACAGAAGCCTATAACTGCATGTGTGAAGGGTGCAGTGCCAGCCTCATCACTTTCTGTCAAAACTTAACGTTGCTGATACATAGATTTTATATTTAATTCTTGTTAGTTTGGCCAATGCCTTCACTATTTAGTGTGTCTGAATGGTTGGCATTTCATTTTACCACCATGAAATACCAACATATCTTACCTGTTGCAGTTCTGACCTCTGTCCCAATGTATAGCATAAAGAGCACAAAAGAGCAATGTTTAATTTTTAGACTATTGAAGGGTTTTAGAGGTGAACATGCAGGTTTATGGTTATGATTGTTTATGCTGTAGACTTCTATAGCATCCAACAATTATGTGGTTGGTGACAGTGATTTAGATGGTTATGCGATGGAATCGTGCAGAGGCAAACAGTAAATATACGGAAAGTTTCAATCAGAGGTACAACAAACTTCACCATGGACAATGATGGACAGCACTGCCAACAAGTTACTGAGGTAATAAGTCCATGCCTGAAGCACTCTAAATACCACACATACAAAAGCACTTGCAATTTAGTGAGTTAGAAAACATTCTTGTAACCCTTATCCCCACAAGCATACCTCATCATGTTTCTCATGTAAGAATAGATTATTAAATATTTCAAGTGTTTCTTGCCCACTGACCACATTCAGGATTGAGTCCCCATGTGTTAGTCATTGCACATATGCAAGATTTAGATATAGTCCATGTCCCAAAGAGCCTATAGTCCAGTATCCCCATTCTGCAAGCATTTATGCATGTTGAGTAATATTTTGCACATGGGTAGTCACTGAACTTACATATGTAAGTATGTTTGCAGGATCAGGGCCTAAGAATCTAAGTTTACTACACATTAAGTCCTACTGTATCGTATGAAGTTATCCAGAAAAGATTTTTCCTCTAAAGAAATACTTTTTTTTTTTTAAATGGACGCCAGTTAAAATCTACAAATCCTATTTATAAGGTACCTTTTAGTTATACTTGTTCAACTTAATACATGCACCTTGTTGTAACAACGGTTAAGGAACATAAACATCAGCAGGACAAACTGAGGAAGACCATTATAACCCAAAGGAGAACAAGATTTGTTTGGAGATTACTTTTTGTACTTCTAAGTATGCATACTCCATGCACAAAGCATGCAACCATAGGATTAACTTGACACAGTTAATGTGATAAACATACACATGTAATAATAATTTATTCCAAGTTTTTGATACTTTAAATACTCTACCACATAGCAACAGACATTTACATTTGCTTAAGAAAAAGTTAAAATAAAATATAATTTTATCTAAAATAAATATGTAGTCCCTATCTAATTTGCATTACAAATTTTGGAGCCCATCTACTGGCAATGAGATATATTTTATCTTAAACCAGTTCCTAACTGACTTCAGGTAAACTGAAATAAGCCTAATTTAAACCAAAATAAGAGCACCTATACAGCATATCACACTAATTTTAACTAAATCAGTTTATAAAAGCCTCACACCTTGAGTTAAACTGGTGAAATTCTGTGTTTAGGCAAAGCTTTAGATTTAAAATCAATTTGCCAATGTGTCAAAAGTGTCAGATAATGGGCAACAATGTTTTACATATTTGTATACCAATACTGATGTGCCCCAAAATAATTAGACTACCAAAATACTTTGGAACATATTAAGTTATTTACCTTAATACTACCAAGTCCATCATTATTCTTACTACACAAAAGCAATTCCTATAACTGATGATGGATACAGACAGTTTTCTGCTTATAACTTTAATTTTGGCAAAGCATAGGATTGCCATTAACTGGAAAGCAGAAGCAGGTTCAGCTATTTTAAAAAGATCCTATCTTTGAGAAGAGTTGCTACTGGAAATATATTCATATATTATTTATATAAAAGATGTAATTCTGAAAGGTAGTAAACAGATTGGGATAAATTCTGACCCCACTGAAATCAAAGGGGGGTTGCCACTGACTTTAGTGAGGCCAGGATTTCACCCATTGAATTTATTATTATTTGTATTACGGTAGTCACAGACCAGGACCCCACTGTGCTAAGCATTGTATAAACACAGAGGAAATTTGGAATTCCTAAATTGTATGATTGTGACAACTTAATTTGGATCCAATTAAGTTCACATGGTCTACATTTAAACAGTAACTATACAATAAAAGAAAACAAACACACACTCCTATGTTGTCTATTTGGCACTCAGTGAGAATCATAGAAATGTAGGCTGGAAGAGCCAGCCCTCTGTGCTGAGGCAGGACCAACCTAGACCATCCCTGACAGGTGTTTGTCCAACCCGTTCTTAAAAACATCCAGTACTGGGGATTCCACAACCTACTTTGGAAGCCTATTCTAGAGCTTAACTACCCTTATACTTAGAATTTTACCCTAATATCTAACCCAGGGGTAGGCAACCTATGGCACAGGTGCCGAAGGCGACACGCGAGCTGATTTTCAGTGGCACTCACACTGCCTGGGTCTGGCCACTGGTCAGGGGGGCTCTGCATTTTATTTAATTTTGAATGAAGCTTCTTAAACATTTTAAAAACCTTATTTACTTTACATACAACAATAGTTTAGTTATACATTATAGGACTTATAGAAAGAGACCTTCTAAGAACGTTAAAATATATTACTGGCACGCGAGACCTTCAATTAGAGTGAATGAATGAAGACTCAGCACACCACTTCTGAAAGGTTGCCGACCTCTGATCTAACCTAAGTCTCCCTTGCTGCAGATTAAGCCTATTACCGTATATACTTGTTCATTAGCCCGTTCGTTTATAAGCCAACCCCCCAAAATGGAGAGGTAAAATTAGCAAAAATTGTATGACCCTTTCAGAAGCCGACCATATATTTCAGGGGTTGGAAAACTTTAGCACCCGGCCCGCTGGCTGGGAACAGCAAACCGCGGCCACAGGGAGCTGAGGGACTCCATGCCTGCAGACGCTCCAGGTAAACAAAACAACAGTGTATTAGATATTCAGTTCAATGATTCCATAGAGCAAGGGTCGGCAACCTTTCAGAAGTGGTGTGCCAAGTCTTCATTTATTCGTGGTAATTTAAGGTTTCGCGTGCCAGTAATACATTTTACATTTACAGGGGCCGGTGGTTGGGACCCCAGGCCGGCAGCGGGCTGAGCGGCTCAGCCCACTGCCGGCCTGGGGTTCCATCCATCCAGGCCGGCAGCGGGCTGAGCGGGGCCGGCGGCGGGGACACCAGGCTGGCAGCAGCGTGCCACAGTAAATCAGCTCGCATGCCGCCTTTGGCACGCATGCCATAGATTGCCGACCCCTGCCATAGAGTTTAAAATCATCAAATTTTGGTGTAGACCCGTTTATAAGCCGACCCCCGCTCTTTGATGCATCACTTTTTTACCAAAAATATTCGGCTTATGAATGAGTATATACGGTACTTTTTGTCCTACCTTCAGTGGACATGGAAAACAATCAATCAATCACCCTTTATAACAGTCCTTAACATATTTGAAAACTGTTATAGTTCCCCCCCCGCCCACAAGTCTTCTTCAGGTACTAATACCACTCACTTACTATAAACCCAGTAAAACAACTTTACATTTGCTACTCAATTTACTTGATTAGTGGTTTGAAGAAAAAAAACAAACAAAAAAACCCACACTAATATCTTTTAGCATACCCAACAGGTAAGCCTCATGCCCTGTGCCATTTAGAAGTAACATATTGGATGAATCGGTACAGAGGTATGCAACAGCCTCCAAATCCAAATTATAACATACCCCCTTGTCTGAAGTATTATGTAATTTTAGTTAAACATTTTGTTTTTAAATTGTAGTTCAACTTTGCAATATGAAATGATGGTGACAGTAACAAACTCACTTGCCAGGGCTTTCTTTCCAGCAGCATGGTAAGCAACGATGTATTTTTTCCCATCTCGGTCCTCTGTTTTCGTCTCTAATCCAGGAAACAAGGATTTCACAGCGTGGTGAATAATAGTTCTTTTTTCTTTAGTGTCTTCAATAACCTACATTTAACAAAGAAAATTGTCTCACAAAAACGGTCCTTTTTTTTGGTCTTGTGTACATATCTTTTTGTTTGTTTTTAAACACAAAAAAAATATTTTTTCTGTTCAAAAACCAACCTTAAGAAAACATGGTCTGACTATGCTTTAAAAGGACACATTCTACTTGCTATAATTAATCATAAAGAGATATATACATAACTCCGCTACAAACCTTGAATCTGATGTTTCAAAAATAAAAACCACAATGACATTTTTTAATTCACCAGTTTAATTCTTAGCCAAATTTCACTGCCTGAATGGTGACTATATCCAAACTGTGCGTCTTTAGTGCACATCTGTATAGACGCTATACAACTAGATGAGAAGAAATTTTTTTTAATGTAGGAATGCTTATTAATCCCAAACCAAATTTTTGCCCCTAAATCAGCTCAGCAGTTATTCATATTTGTGTTATTTAAAAATAGCCACAAAACTCTTCTTCCTCTTGTATCTTTTTTCTTCTTATTGTGGAAGATCAAATTCACTGTCTTCTATTAAATCAGCACATGCTATCCTTGGAAACATTCTTTCATCGAAGAGCATGTTTGTTTAATCCCTTGTACATAATCATTCTATAAAATACTCATACACTGAAAACCCAAATACTGCATTAGCCCTAATCCTGCGAACACTTAGGCATGTGCTTAATTTTATGCAAGTGAATAGTCCCAGTGAAACCATGGTTAGTACTCACATGCATAGTTCAGTACACTTGTTAGTCTTTGCAGAATCAAGTCCTAAATTTACAAGTTTTCAGCATCGCCTATTCTGATGTAAAGCTCAACAAACCACTTGTATACCTAGCATTTAGTTTCCATGCACACACCCATCTCCTTCCCCAAAAAGGATATGTTAGCCAAGTCCTTTGTATCGTTTTACCATTTTACCTCTATGGCAACACTGGTTTCTTTGTTCTTAAAAAGTTGGAGCTCTTCTAAATGCTGCTTATCTTCATTTGACAAAACTGTAAATATTTCTTCTGAAGGATCCTAATATATATATAAAATAACAGTAACTCACACACAGTCAGAACAAGTTTTCATTAGTGACTTAATTTAAAAAAAAAAAAAAAAAAAAAAAAAAAAAAAAATCTTCTAGCCATTTCTGAAAGCTACTCAGAATTTACCTCATCATCCACTGGAACAGAAAAGTCATCTAAATGGCTTATGCGCCCATCTTTTCCTATTTCATGAACGACAAAGTCTGAGTATCTAACAGAAAGAAACACAAAGGGTTAAAAAACAGACAGGGAAGACTAAAGGCTTCTGTGAACAGAATGCTATTTTCCACTATTTTCCAATAGACTTTATTCAGTTTCTAGATTAAAATTTCAGCCATCTACTAAAAAGCTTTCTCCCCTCCCCAGAAAATTACCCAAAAGACACACTAGATACTTTCCAGAATCATCTTCAATCATCACTTGAAAACTCAATATGAAAATTATACCTATTTTTCCCCTCCATAGTAGAAGCACAAATATTGGTTTGTTACTGTAGAGTTATTCATGAATATTAAAGCCACTAGCATTTAAAAAGAATCATACAAATGTAGGACTGGAAGAGACCTCAATAGATCAAACAGTCCAGTCCCCTACGCTGAGAAAGGACTAAGTACAGTAACTCCTCGCTTCACGTTGTAGTTATGTTCCTGAAAAATGCCACTTTAAGCAAAAGGATGTTAAGCGAATCCAATTTCCCTATAAGAATTAATGTAAATGGGGGGGTTAGGTTCCAGGGAAATTTTTTTCACCAGACAAAAGACTATATATACTGTGTGTGTGTGTGTGTGTGTGTGTGTGTGTGTGTGTGTGTGTGTATGTGTATATATATATATACACACACACACACACACACACACACACACACATACACACACACACAGCATAAGCTTTAAACAAACAATTTAATACTGTACACAGCAATGATGATTGTGAAGCTTGGTTGAGGTGGTGAAGTCAGAGGGTGGGCTATTTCCCAGGGAATGCCTTACTGCTAAATGATGAACTAGCACTCAGCTGAGTCCTCAAGGGTTAACACATTGTTGTTAATGTAGCCTCACACTCTACAAGGCAGCATAAATGGAGGGAGGGGAGACAGCATGGCAGACAGAGAGACACACCTTGTGAGAGAGATATGCGCATTGCCCCTTTAAGTACACTGACCGCACTTTAAGTACATTGCCTTTTTAAGTAGATCAGCAAGTTGAGACAGCAGCTGCTGCGAGCAAACTCCCTCTGTCCTGAGCCCTGTTGCGCCCATCCCCCCTCCCCCGCTCTATGGAGATGGGGAAAGAGGGGGCAGGAGCAGGGGGGAGGAGGACACCCTGACATTTGCCCCCCTCGCTCCTCCCCCCCCACATACAGCAAGCAAGAGGCTCCCGGGAGCAGCTCCAAGGCAGAGGGCAGGAGCAACACATGGCAGTGCGGGGAGGGACAGCTGAAATGCCGGTAATTAATAGTCTGCTGGGCGGCTGCAGCACAGGGAACTTAGGGGAACGGGGAGCTGATAGGGGGGCTGCCAGTCCACCCTGGTTCCAAGCCCCCCACCAGCTAGCTCCAATGGGCTGCTCTTTCTAGCAGGCAGCTGCCAAACAACATTATAAGGGAGCATTGCACAACTTTAAACGAGCATGTTCTCTAATTGATCAGCAACATAACAACAAAACAACATTAACCGGGACGACTTTAAGTGAGGAGTTACTGTATTATCGACAGACCATCCCTGACAGGTGTTTGTCTAACTTGTTCTTAAACACCTCCAACGACAGAGGTAATTTGTTCCAGTGCTTAAATACCCTTAGGAAGTTTTTCCTAATGTCGAACCTAAAGCTCCCTTGCTACAATTTAATCCCATTACTTCTTGTCCTGTCCTTTGGTTCAAAAAAGAAATAGATACATTCATGGAGGATAGGTCCATCAATGGCTATTAGCCAGGACAGGCAGGGATGGTGTCCCTAGCCTCTGTTTGCCAGAAGCTGGGAATGGGCGACAGGGGATGGATCACTTGATTATCTGTTCATTCCCTCTGAAGCACCTGGCATTGGCCACTGTTGGAAGACAGAGTACTGGGCTATATGGCCCTTTGGTCTGACTCAATATGACCGTTATGTTCTTCTGTTCAGTGGTTAAGGAGAACAATTCAGCACCCTCCTTTTTATAACAACCTTTTACGTATTTGAAGACAGATATCATGACCCCCACTCAAATCTTCAATTCTCCAAACTACACAAACCCAATTTTTTCCATCTTTCCTTACAGGTTATGTTTTCTAGACCTTTAATCATTTTTGTTATTCTCCGCTGTACTGTCTCCAATTTGTCCACATTTTTCCCACACAATACTCCAGGTGAGGCCTTATCTGTGTTGAGTAGAGTGGAAGAATTACTTACTTCTTGCTTACAATACCCCTGCTAATACACCCCAGAATGATGTTCATTTTTTTTTTTTTTTTTAGGCAACAGTATTACACTGTTGACTCAATATATTTAGTTAGTTATTTAGTTTGTGATCCACTGTAACCCCCAGCTCCTTTTCTGCAGTACTCTTTCCTAGGCAATCATTTCCCATTTTGTATTGGTGCAATTGATTATTCCTTCCTAAGTGTAGTACTTTAAATTTATCCTTATTGAATTTCATCCTATTTAATTCAGAACATTTCTCCACTTTATCAAGATCATTTTGAATTCTAATTCTGCCCTCCAAAGCGCCTGTAATCTCGGTATCATCCGGAAACTTTATAACTGTACTCTCTATCCCATTATCCAAATAATTTATGAAGAAATTGAATAGAACCAGACTTAAGACAGATCCCTATAGGACCCCACTTGACATGCCTTTCCAGCTCGATCGTGAACCACTGATAACTACTCTGAGTACAGTTTACCAGTCACTAGTGCACCCACCTTATAGTAGGTTCATCTACAAAGGTATCAGAGAAGAGAAAGAGTATATATAAATTAGGAAAGAAAGGGAATGTAAAAAAGTTATTTGAAATTACAGGAACAGTGCAAGTGGACATTTAAAAAAAAAAAAAAAAAAAAAAAAAAAGAGGGTGTGTGTCAATTCTTGAGCCTTCCTTTACAGATCACCATTTTAAACTATCCTGACTTTCATCTATTTACCCAAGAATTTTTATAAACAGTAACGAGATAATTTGATCTCTATCTGTCATTCACACAAAGAAGCAAGCAGCCTCTCCCTACTTCCCAACAAAGGTAAGAGCAGATCACTGTTGTGAATCTTCATGCTACTGAGGCCTCCTTATTTAATCAAATATACTTTAACATTTATTAGTGTAATAAGTAGCTAACTAGGCTCCTCATGTAGATGAACAAAGTACATTATATAATGTATTTGAATTGGTTGATTACTTGCTAAAATTGCAGAGCTCAGAAATTTACTCTCTCACCCCTAGTTGTTAATAAGAATTTCAAAGATTCTACTGTACTGTTATTTCATGAATTAGTACATTAACTCTGTCACTTCAACCAACATTCTTCAGTGCTAGCAGTACATTATAGCTCAACTCATTCTTTTCCCAGGTAGAATGAGTCAGATTTCTGTTCACAGCTCTGTGGGTGGAAATACAGAGAACTCCACTGAAGTAAGAGTTCTTCTGGATATTCACTACAGTAGCAAAGCAGATTCTGATCCAGTCTTTTAAAAAAGAAAAAAGAAAAAAATTGAAAAAGAGAGACAGTGAATTGGTGCCAATAGAGGGAACATAAAGGACTTTCTTTCTACATTAGTAAAGCCAGGATAAGTTGTATTTTCTAAAATAAGAATTTTAGAACAGCTGAGAGAAAAAGCTGTCAACTGATTGTGAAATGCTGAAAGTAAGATGGGAAAATGAGGCTTCACTGTGAGATGTTTCTATTGCATTACATCCAAAATCCACACATGAACGTATCACACCTCTATAAAGTCACGTCAGTTTGGCAAAATACCTTCTTTATTATTTTCCCACAGACACTATGATGAAGGACACATTACAAATGCCTCAATTAGATATGCTTATAAAAGTCACAAGGGTCAAAATGGGGGCTGGAAGGACCATAATGAGACTGCAAACATCTCTGTCAAGACAGTATCAAGGTTATGTTTTGCCAACTGAGTTTAAACGTAGAGATGTGATGAATCCACATTTTTTAATTTGAACAAAACTATCAAACACTTCTCACTGGTATTCACACAAAACTGAATGCAAGTAAGTGAGGCTGTCGTTATCTTGCCAGATCTCTCAAAAGAAACATCTTTCATCTGGATAAGGAATAGCCACCAATAAATAGGGATAACAGAGTGTCTTTTTTTGAAGATTATGTTGTATCTGCAGTTTCAGAGAAAAAGTGCATAACAATGTCTATTTATGGTAAAACTATGTACATACAGGATGACTAATTTTAAACTGATTAGGCAAAAATATGTTTAAGTGATTTGCTGAATTGGTGCAATAATTTGTGCACTGTTTCTTCAGAAAGGTTTTGAAGTTATATTTTGAGATTTCTGGTGAAAGACAGTATTTATTTTAAGTAAGAGTTAAGAATGCTGTGTTGTAATGAAATAAGAATAAGTAGTTTATTATGTAGGCAGTGTGATTTGTGATATCCTCAATTATTTTCAAGTTCTTTAGTTTTGTACATAATGTTAGAACTGTCAAGATTTATAAATTTTAGCACCAGAAGAGACTATCAGATTATCACATAGCAACTTTAACTTGTTTTTTCAAAAGTTTTTTGACTTTGGGATCATAAATATTTTGTCACGTCTTTTACATAGGTTAGCGGTACTTTTAGTGTGCATAGTACGTATTGTAACTAGATTGTATATTTTGTACACAGTTGGCCAAAAGTAAGTCAAATTGCAAATTAATATAAGATTATCTTCCTATCATTTAGAGTACCTATTCTCAGTTTTATTCAGCAGAACACAAACACTTTAGAAGGGCACCAACCATGTACAAATTGAAGCTTTCTCAGAGCCCTAGTTTTAAGAAAAGAAAGCAGTGAAGCACACCTGCAGATAATCCTACTGTATGTTGATACGTGTTGGTGTTATACCAGAGATGATGGTATCTGACTCCTCGGCTAAACAGAGAAGGAAAATGGGGAATAATTGCTAATACAAGGAATTAAAGTACAGCGGATTGCAAGATGAAAAGTTACCTCTCTTTTAAGATTCCAGAAAACCCTTTGTGAGAGCTAACAAACTTTGTAATGCCAACATCAAGTTCTATTAGTCCATGCTTCATCATGTCTGCAAAGCTCTCTGGGTCCCCTTCTTCATCACTTTCCTCAAGTTCATTATCTTCTTCCTCCTCACCTTCTTCATTCAGGATTATATCATCTTTCTTGTCCTCAAGCAAAGGTTTCCCAGGTTGTTCAGTTACAATGTCAATGCTTTGCTCAGAATTGCTTCCTGTCTTAGAAGACTCTTCTGAGATCTTTTGCCTTTTAATTTCATCCACATTAGCCACATCATCCTCAGAATGAGGTCGTTTCAAGGAGGTCATTTCTACAGCTTCCATGTCGAAAGGCACAGAGCGGTACAAAGTCCTGGGGAGGAAGGAAAGGACGATTTAAAATGGTGTATTTCCAAATCTTTTTGCTTTTTAAAAAAATTATATTTTTAAACATGCAACACACACAAACCAAACAAAAAGCAGCAAATTCTGCATCAACTTATACCTGGGCAACCCCAGATTCAATGGATTTGCACAGGTGTAAGTTAAATTACATGCAAAGATACAGCTACCAAGAAGATACACTCGGCAAACTCAGTAGTCTCAGTAGAGGAACAATGCAGGGAAGGGGGAGTAAAGGATTAGGATTAGAGATCCTGACTGAGAAAGACAGAAAAAGCGTTCCTGACGAACAATACATTGTGTCAGGCTCAGGCCTGGTCTATACTTAAAAGTTTTGCTGCATAGCTATGTTGATATAGAGGGTCAGGGGGAGGGGGGAATCACACCCCTAACCAACATGGTTGTTCCAACAAAAGCCAGGGCTGGCCTTACCATGAGGCAAACTGAGGCGGCCGCCTCATGTGCCAGACTGTGGGGGAGTGCCACTAGGACCCAGAGTGTAGAAAATTGTGTCTGCTGCTGGCGCATATGTATTCTCTCTGCTCTAGATGCACAGAGATGGTGGAGTGCTGTGCTGGAGGAAGGAGGGCACAAGAGACATAACAGGCAGGCAGGAGAAAAGGTGAGAGGGAATAACAGAAAGCAGCAGGAGCTGCAGGGAGAGAGAGGAGGGGGGACCTCTTATGTACCTCCCTAGCACCCCCAGGAGCCTGAAGTGATTAACATCAGCTTCTCAGGGAGCTTTCTGTTTCCTGCTGCTTCCCTGAACCCACTTGAGGAGAACAGGCAGTCAACTGAAGTAGCAGAAGCCAGTTAGGCCCTTAAGACGCTGATATCTTCCCTCACTCAGGCCCTGCTTATTTGTCCCCTTCAATTGAGGCACTATAGCTGGCACAGAACAGCAGTCATGAGTGAAAGAAGAAAACGCCCCTCTGGGGCAGCATTCAGAAAAAGAAAGCAAGCAAATGAAGCTTTTCTATCTAAGCAGGAAGGAGCATTCCTGAGATAACTAGACACAAATGTTCACGGTGAGCCTTCCGGCCCCACCGAGGATGTGAGTGGTGAGGAGATGCCTGATCTTCCAGTACTTAGATTGCAGGTGACCTGGCAGCTACTGCAGCATCCATATCTCCATTTCAAATGGATGTAACCATTCACATTCCTGAAGAAAAGTGTAGATCAGAGAAGAGTGTGATGGAGGCGCAAGAAACAGCTGCTGCTGAGTTTAGTTCCTTAAGTCTAGATCAGAGGTAGGCAACCTATGGCACGCGTGCCGAAGGCGGCACGCGAGCTGATTTTCAGTGGCACTCACACTGCCCGGGCCCTGGCCACCAGTCCGGGTGGCTCTGCATTTTAATTTAATTTTAAATGAAGCTTCTTAAACATTTTAAAAACCTTATTTACTTTACATACAACAATATTATAGACTTCTAGAAAGAGACCTTCTAAAAACATTAAAATGTATCACTGGCACGCGAAACTTAAATTAGAGTGAATAAATGAAGACTCGGCACACCACTTCTGAAAGGTTGCCGACCCCTAGTCTAGATGATCCAGGACTGTGGACCCACTTGAGCAGTAGCCTGAGGGACTTCCTTGTAGGGCATGGGCCACAGCAAGTAAAAAACTTCATGTTCCCCAAAGACAATGAAAATAGAAGTTTCCATCCAACACATTACTGGTGTGAAATCCCCAATGGTGACAAAGTGGAGAGGCCATGGCTTATGTACTCAAAAACCCAAAATGCTGCATACTGTTTTTGTTGCAAACTCTTCCAGTCTAATGTTCCAGCTACATTGGGTTCTACAGGAATAAAGGACTGGAAAAATCTGGCTAGAAATCTGGCATGCCATGAGAAGACAGCAAATCACCAGAGAGCATTCCATAGGTGGAAAGAGCTTGAGATGAGACTAAGGTTAAAGGCCACCATAGATGATCAGCATCAAGAGAAGATTGCATCAGAGTCTCTTTACTTGCAAAATGTTCTGAAAAGGCTCGTTGCCATTGTGAGAATGCTTGCTACCCCAAAACCTAGCACTGTGTGGCACTTCAGATCAGCTGTATGTGCCAAACAATGGAAACTTCCTTAAAATTGTGGAGCTGATGGCTGAGTTTGATGCTGTACGTTTCATTTAGAGAACTAGTATAGGATATACCAGCAAAAGAACTAATTTGCTGGTATAAAATGCATCTCCAGTCGGGGGGCTTTCCTGTATCGCTATCTTGGTATATTTCTACTGGCAGACATTTTCTAGTGTTGACAAGGCCTCGGACAGGAAAGGACAACTTCCAGAAAAGACTTTGGGGTTATATAAGGAAATGAGAGTGAAAGGATCAGGGAAGACACTTTTTCTCCCCTTGGTGGGGTACAGTGTGTTTTATGTTTGTCTTTATGAAAGACAGGGGAAGGAAGGTGGTCACATTTTTAGGTAGCATCAGTTTTTCAAAGTTTTCCAGAATGGGTACTCCTGGAATCTCTCCCAGCTGGCACTGGAGAAGAATGATGCAACACCTCCAGCAAATCTGGCCTCTTCTCTTGCCAGCTCTCCTTTCTTCATTATTTTCAACTGCTATGATAGTGCCAGTGCTCAACTATCATACAGCTGTCTACATGGGCTTTGCTGCTGTCAATTTGGGGCCTAAGAAGCTTCTAAACCGTATCTCACTACAGCTAAATCTGACTACTTTGTATTATTTCCCCTTCCAAAAAGATTTCATCCTGTGTGCATCAATAATTCAGACACAATGGTTCAATGCGCTGCTCCCTCCCCCCTAACTCCTCCCCATCTGTATATTATTTCATCTCTTCTGTTCCCAGAAAGAGCTCCTATTCTTCTTCCTTAACTCACACAGTTCTGATCAATGAGTCTCCAGGGGTGAGGTAAAGGAAACCCTGAGTGGGGAGGGAGTGAGCAGGGAGTGAATGAAATAAACCCTGGAGGGCTGTATCTACTCACTCTTGTGGAACTGAGCGCTTTATTCTCTTCACTGACTACTTCAGTGTCCACTTGTGGGCCAGCAGGAACAGAACTTTGGGGGCTAGAGAAGAAAGGGATAACTGTTTGAAATTATAATTAAAAAATTATTATAACACCTAGGATGTTAAATGGGTCAAAAGTTCTCCACAGATCCCAAGATCTATGGGATTGCCTCAAAGTACTTGGGAAACCCCCACAGATCTGGAATATTATGCTCCTTACTCATTCCAGAGAAATGGGAGTATGGGGGGGGGGGGGGGAAAATCACATACCCCCACTGATTCTATAAAAACTCCACGAGCTGAAATACACAGATATTCCTAGCCCTTCTGTGCAATTTTCCCCCATGGAAGCAACAAGCTGACCCTGAACTTGTGGCTCAGTGTTTATGATGCCTATAAAAGCTCTTTCCACACTCCTGAATGTAAATTATCACCATAAATAGAACACAAATAGAGGTAAATAAGGCACTTTACAAGGGACTTCCTAGTTCTGTGCATCATATTATAGAAAGGATATTATGTAACTGGATAACAGTTAAGATTAAAAAAAGAACACTGATGCTTAGATATACAAAGAAGCTGAAAAAATAGTTTTGTATTACTAATAAGATAAAAAACAAAACACACACTCATAACTGGGATGCCTACAGAAGTTGGATGCCATGAAACTGTAAGAGAACCACCACAGAAACTAAGAAACAGCCAGACAGAAGAAGTTAAGAAAGGCACAGAAAACAGAAAAGACACACCACGCAGAATAAATACTAGCGAGTTAGGTGGACACACCAATGTGGACCTTTATTAACCTCAGTGCTAGCCTATAATAAATTAACTTACTCAAGTACTGCAGAATCTGCAACAGGTAACCAAATGCAAGGCTAGCTCAGATGCAAGGCTAGCTCAGGGTTTTTGATTGATTGTTTGTAGTAGTTATTTCTTTTAAGGGATTTGTATGTGAGTTTAGTGCTTGTGAAAGGTGCCAGATTAATAGCCCTGGAGATCAAAATCCCTATAACTGTACACAGAACAGATACAATACCTGGTTCCCTATATCACCCCACCAATATACACACAGATTTTTGAAGAGAGAACAAAAATCATTTGTTGCCAGTAAATAGTTCAGTCAGGTCACAAACCAATCTTCTAGAAACTTCTTCAAACATTACATAACATCTCCCATTTGAAAATTTTAAAAATCTATACTTTAAGGAAGACTAACATTACAGGTTAGTAATCTTGTCACCTATTGAATTGTCAGCTGTCCTGAAACTGACCATAACTAGCCATGCATAATACAAGTACTCTCAGAAATTTAGAGATTACAATCACTTTTCCAGCCTCTACTTGTTTCTCCCTAATTAGATTTTAACATTTTCTTTAGCTCCAAATGTAAATGTAGCTGTAAAAATAAACAACCAAAAGGATTGTATTAAGTTACAAATAAATCAGAGAGAAAGCTGCTTCACAAACATTTAAAATAATCAACTCAAATGAAGAACTAATAAATAAAACAAAGACTGAAGAAACAACAAAAGTGAAACAAGAAAGGGATTGTTTATTATTATTATAAAACTATAAATAATAACAAAGGAATAAAGAACAGGAGTACTTGTGGCACCTTAGAGACTAACAAATTTATTAGAGCATAAGCTTTCGTGGGCTACAACCCACTTCTTCGGATGCACATATACATATGTTCTTTTTGCGGATACAGACTAACACGGCTGCTACTCTGAAAGGAATAAAGACCACTAAAGGAAAGAGTGGAAGAAAGCAAGCAAAATAGAGTTATCAAACCATGTATTTCTTCATACCTTTCAATGGATAACATCAACTTCAATCTGGCCCAAAATTTAAACGTTATAAAAAGCTTTTATAAAATCATAACCAATAGAAGTGATTCTACTTTTTAAAAATTCTCATTAAAACTATTTTAAAATCAAGTTTTCTGTAACATTGAAATGCTAATATCTGGGCTACAAACTGAAATTACACCCATTTAAGAAACTGGTTTCTAAATTTATGTAGTTAAATTGGTGCGAACTCCTTGTATAGGTCCTCTTAAATAGGTTTAAGAGAGGCTGATATTGATTTAGCTTTAGTTGATTACCACAGAAAAGCTGCTCCCTTTCCCCTTTCATCCCGAACCCCTCCAGCTACCAAGCATTTACATGGCAGGGCTTTTGCTAATATCTGTAGGAGATAAGAGTGTGTCCGTTAACTCAGATTCCCCCCTCCTGAGGGGGGGGAGAGGGGGCAGTGCTCACCACTTACAATGCACTGAAACCTTGCAGGACTACAATCCACTGGGAAGCCTGCCAAAGGATGTTGACCTATTAGCCTGTTAAGTATCTGTTAGGTGTTTCTAACACTCTAAAACACACACACACACACACACACACACACACCCCCGACCCCCTAGAGATTAGACTGTTATCATAGATTGCCTAGTCTAAGAACAGGGGACAAACAAATACCAATTGGAAAATGCTGTTCACCATATGAGAAAATATTTGAAAAATTAATTACTTGAGGGACTAAATTGCTCAAAACTGATTAAGAGAAAGACAGTCTTTCACTTGTACACGTCACTAGTGAGAAAAGGTTGTTACTATTTGACAGCTGTTTGATTGTCTTAGTCCAGGTACCAGTGGACTGGTGTTCACATCACAGAGCCTGCACCCTTGTTGGCAATTTCAGTAGAGGCCAAGGTTTTATGGAGACTGAACTATCCCTTCATCATTAAAAGTATGGGGCTCTTTTATTCCTTGCCAGTGAGTAAACTTACGCTGCTGTGCTTGCGCTGTATCTGTTCTGTAGAGACACAGGGAAATTCAATCAGGCACTTTGCACTTTAAAAAGATAAAATGAAGAATGTTAACATTCATATGTAAAGCACAGAGCAGGCTCTCCGTCAAATGAAGCAGGAAATTAGAAAAGATAGTAAATGGTATCATGGTAGAATGATACAGGAGGATCTAGGAAGCAGATGCCTCAGTCAACTGCAGGAAACAGTGTGGCATCCATATAATTTAAACATTATATACTTAGCAAGGATGGCCCAAATATTGCCCAACTAAGGGGACCATGGCAAGCTGCCAGGTGTACAATTGCTACTCCTATATTTTCAGGCCCGCCGATGGAGGGGGCAACGGGCGCAACTGCCCAGGGGCCCGGGCGATTTAAAAGGGCCACCGCTGGCAGCTCAGCAGGGCTAAAGCAGGTTTCCCGCCCGCCCTCACTCTGTACCACTCCCGGAAGTGACTGACGCCCCGGTGGCCCCTGGGGAGGGGGTCTCCGTGCGCTGCCCTCGCCCCAACTCTGCAGCTCCCATTGGCCGAGAACAGCAGCCAATGGGAGCTATGTTGGCGATGCCTGCAGTCAGCAGTGAGTGGCGACCCCCTGGGTCTCCACCTAGAAGCCGCTGCCAGAGGGGTGTGCCGATTGCTTTTGAAAGCCACCTGAGGTAAGCGCCGACCTCCTGACTCCCTCCTCACCCCAACCCCCTGCCCCAGCCTAGAGCCCACACCCCCTACTTCCTCCCAAAACCCACATCCCACACCCCAATTCCCTGCCCCAGCCTGGTGAAGTGAGGGTGGGGGAGAGTGAGCCACAGAGGAAGGGGGATGGAGTGAGCAGGGGGCGGGGCCTCAGAGAAGGAGTGGGACAGGAGCATGGTCCCAGGGAAGGGGTGGGGCAGGGCAATGGTCTTTGGGTTTGCGTGATTAGACAGTTGGCAACCCTACTGGCTGGGCATGGGGAAGCCCTAGCCATGCCGGAAGGGCACGTCTAGCAGCCCGCTGGGCACCAGCACTGCCCAAATGTCAGGCGGACTGCATCCGTGCGGGAGTGGCTTGTGCATGCGTGGGGGCCCTCTGACTGTTCGGAATTGCTGTTGGCGGGCCTGTATATTTTATAAAACAGACATGCGTTCAGTTGTGTTAATCTTTTCTAAAGAGATGCAAGTGACTAAAGATCCCAGCATCCAATGCTCCATGCTCTGGAAACCACTTGGATCAAAAATAGAGCCAGGATGATCATTGGGAGGGATCTGAGCCCCTCATTCAGTGAGGAAGGGCAGCAGGCAGCTGATTACCTACAGACAGATTTCCATGGGGGGTGGGGGACTCAAGGGAGGGAGGAAAACAAGGTAAGAAGGGGTGATTCCAGAGGGGATGGGATCTAAATTGAGGCCTCTGGGCCCTAGCGCTGTATAGGCAATTTACACTAGAGAAGTGGGGTTACAGCAAGGAGCTTAATGAGGGTGGAGGGAAGTTTTTTTTGGAGAGGCAGTTTCATTTTGGAGTAGGAGAGTTGCTTTAATCTAGCCCTGGCCACGGAGAAGCACAAGGCAGGATCTGGCTGTACTCTGTGGGCCATGTCTCGGCACTGAAGGTAAGGGCAGCCATGGGGGTGCAGTTAGAACTCAGTGAGCCACATTTTTGTTCACCCCCGCGCAAACACGTGGCAGTGGCACCCCGCGCAGCTGGCAAAGGGAGAGGGGCAAGGGGGTATCCATGGGCCCGCCCAACACTGATGAAGAAACCGGGCACAAACTCTTCCCCACAGCCCCACGAGAGGAGTCTGGGAGCCACATGGAGCGTACCAAGGCAGGAGGCTGCGCGCCTACGGGGGGAGAGGCTCCTCCCGCTTAGGGCAAACAGTCCTGCGGGGCGAGCGTCGCCCTCCGGGCCGCGTCAGCTCCCACGCGGGCGGCGGGGCAGGCAGCCCCGAGGCCGGGCGAGGCGGCGGCGGGGGGACGCTTACCCGGAGCTTGACACTGCCGCTGGCAAAGGAGAGCGAGCGGCAGGAGGCGGCGGCCGCAAGGAGTCAACAACATGGAGCGGGTCCCCGGCCGGAGCTGCGGGGCTGGCGCACGTGTCCGCCCTGGGCTCGGCCTCTGCAGCGGGCGGCCTCAGTCAAGGCGCTGCTGCCGCGGCTGGACTGGGCCGGAGCGCGCGTCTGTGACTGCTGCTCCCGTCCGGAGCCGGGGGAGGGCGCAGGCAGGAGACAGCCCCCTTCTCAGTGTCATCAGCCCAGCCTCCTGCAGACACCCACCCCGCCCTCCTCCCACCGAGCCCGGCCTCCGGCCCTTCGCATGCCGCTGCTGCAATGAGCCGGCTGGGCCAGGGTAACCAAGGCGCAGCGTTGCCCAGCCTCCGTTCCTGCTGCGGCCATTTCGAGGTAGCAGAGCAGCTCCTCCCCGGAGGAAGGGTTTTGCTGCGTGTTTCCCTGAGACATTTACAGTCTCCTTCTCCCTCCTCCTCCAGCTTGTTTAAAAACGCCCCCGCGCGCGCGCGCGTCAGTCCTGGGACAAAAGCAAATAATCCCCCGATGCTCCCACGTGCAGTTTATTTGTTACCCGTTCAGGCGGCGCGGGGAGCAGGGACCATCCCGGCGGCCTTGTCAGTGCTGCAGCGGGACTGTGTGTCTGTAAGACCCGTTTCCAGTATTGACTGTTGCCAATCGGATTCAGTCAAAGCCTTTTCCTGCCTTGGCGCTTTGTGGGGATGGTTTAGCCGGCACAATTTAGCTGCGCGCAGTGCGGGGAGGGGAGGTTGTTAAAACAAACAGCATGAAAGATTTCGAATGTCTCACTGGCATGAGCGAGAATTAGCAGGTGGACTTTGAACAATTTAACCCCGTCGATGAAGCGGTGTGAGCACGTTACGGTGTTGGCTAAAGGGCTAGTCCAGTTCCCAGTAAAGTCAGTAAGAAAACTCTCAGTCCAGAGGAGGTGGGTGAGGTGATACCTTTTATTCGACCAGCTTCTACTGGTGAGAGAGACAAGCTTTCAAGCTTACACAGAGCTCTTCTTCAGTCTGGGAAAGGTACTCAAAGTGTCACTGCTAAATACAAGGTGGAACAGATTGGCATAAGGAGTTAACACATGTTTCAAGGGACTGTGTAAACTACTTATGCTAAACAAGCTGTTCCAACTTGTACTTAGCAGTGACACTCTAAGTGCCTTTCCCAGGCCTGAAGAAGAGCTCTATGTAAGCTTGAAACATTATCTGTGTCACCAACCGAAGTTGGTCCAATAAAAGATATCACCTCACCCACTTTGTCTCTGTAATATCCTGGGACCAACAGGGTGTGACGTTGTGCAGTCTATATGGTTTTATAAAAACTTGATAATAAGTCAATATAATGTAACTGGGATAGTTTTAGAGAAAATACGGTAATAAGTGAATGTAACGTAACTGGGATGTGCTTCATGCAAAAGGTCTCTTGTAAGGTATCATTACAAAGCTTATAATCTACTGAGTATGATCATCTGATTTGTATAAATGTACCACTCTTGTATCTAAAACTAGAAATATGAAACGTAACTCTGAGGGCCTATTGTAATTATGTAAAGTGTGGGCCATTAATGATGGTTTGGAATCTTGATGACTCCCATTGTCTGCAGATGGCTGTTTACCTGTGAGTCTCCCTGTATATGTGTGTGCTGGCAAGTGAGTAATGAAGTCTTGCAGTGACATGTGATCATGTCACCTGAACTGGATTCCATCTTTAACCTGGTGCTTTTCCAGTGAGGGGGGGTGGAAACCCAGAGGGACAAAGGGTTCCCGCCTTATGCAAAAGATATATAAAGGGGTGGAACAGAAGAAAGAGGGAGAGGAGCCATCATGAAGAATCCCCTAGCTATCACCTAAGCTGGAACAAGAGCTGTACCAGGGGAAAGAATTGTGCCCAGGCCTGGAAGGTGTCCAGTCTGAGAAAAACTTACTGGAGCATCTCTGAGGGTGAGATTATCTGTATTCAGTTTGATTAGACATAGATTTGCGCATTTTATTTTATTTTGCTTGTGACTTACTTTGTTCTGTCTGTTACTACTTGGAACCACTTAAATCCTACTGTCTGTATTTAATAAAATCACTTTTTATTTAGTAATTTACTCAGAGTATGTATTAATACCTGGGGGAGCAAACAACTGTGCATATCTCTCTATCAGTGTTATAGAGGGCGAACAATTTATGAGTTTGCCCTGCATAAGCTTTATGCAGGGTAAAACGGATTTACCTGGGTTTAGACCCCATTGGGAGTTGGGCATCTGAGTGCTAAAGACAAGCACACTTCTATGAGCTGTTTTCAGGTAAACTTGCAGCTTTGGGACAAGTGATTCAGACCCTGGGTTTGTGTTTGGAGCCAGACGGGAGTGTCTGGTTCAGCAAGACAGGGTGCTGGAGTCCTGAGCTGGCAGGGAAAACAGAAGCAGGGGTAGTCTTTGCACATCAGGTGGCAGCTCCCAAGGTGGTTTCTGTGATCCAACCCGTCACACAGGGCTAGAACAACACTGCATACAATCTAGCGTTTTTGTCTGTGCACCACTGCCCTCTCTAGCCCAGCATATAAAACAGGCACAAACCCTCAGGTTGCCTTTAAAAGGAATAAAAACACCTGCATTCAGAGAAGCAGCACCTGAGTTCTGTCCCCATTAGGGGTATGTCTCCAGTGCATTGAAAACCTGGGTCTGTGGGACATGAGCTTGTGGACTCAGTGTTTCCAAGCCTGAACTTGAGTGGCCACATTGCATTATAAGCCTGGGCTTAAAATTGCTGGACCTGGGTACATCGAGCAAGCTCCCAAGACAAAGCCTGTGTAGTTTGGGCTCTGAGGCCTGGGGTGGTGGTCTTCAGAGCCCAAATGTCTATACAGCTATTCTTAGCGCTGTAGCATGAGCCCCAGTGTGTAGACCCAGGCTCTGAGACTTACTGCCACGGCATCCTGCTTTCTATATAGATGTACCTGTAGCCAGGGCCATCCCTAGCCATTTTGGTGCCCTACGCAGCCCCCCCGCTGGGGGTGTGTGGAGCCCCAGGCCTCTGTGGGGGGGAGGCTGGCCCCAGGCCTCTGGGGCGGGCAGGAGCAGGCTTGGGGGGCAGAGGGGAAACCGCCCCCCAGCTCTCACCGGTGGCACGGCTGGGAGCCGGCGGCACGGAGTGGGCTTGGGGCCAGGTTGCTTCACTTATCGCCACCGGTGAGTGCAGGGTACCCTACCCCTGCTGCAGTCCTCAGGGGAGTCGGGGCAGGGGTGGGAAGAGGCGGGGTGGGGCAGGGCAGGGGCTTTGGGGAAGGGGTGAAGTGGGGGCAGAGCAGGGGTGAGGGCCATGGGGAAGAGGTGGCGCAGGGGCTGGAGCAGCACCCAGCTGTGTAGGGCACCAGGAAATTTGGTGCCCCAAATTTCCTGGTGCCCTGCACAGCTGTGTACTGTATATGGGTAGGGACGGCCCTGCCCGTAGCTGTGCTAACTCATGCTTACTGTACTACACAGACTTTCTGACTCAGGTCTGCGGCTTGAGCAGCATCCACACTGCAGAACTAGAGAGCTTAGTCACAGTGGGACTCTGGCACTGACCCAGGTCCTGAGTGCTTGCTGACCTGATTTGTGTGTGACTGGAAGGAGGATTTGGGCTCAAACCTGGGTCAGAGCCAGGGCTTAGTGTGCAGTGTAGAGATGCTAGTCAGGGACAAAGCATCCTGATTGGCTGGCTGTGGAACGATTTAATGGAGGAGATGAAACTGAGCCAAAGTCTCACTGATGGTAGAATACACTGCACAATCCAACTCCCTTGCTAAAGCTTTCTCAGTATAACCAGTCAAGAAAATAATAATAATAAAAAAGTAGAGCTTTCCAGAACCCACAAGAAATAATGTCCAGACTCCACTAGCTAGCCCTATACAGACAGCCAGCAGGCAGATCTAATTTAACTTGTTCAGCACAGAGATACTATGGTGAGGGACACAATAGAAATATATGAGAAATGGATGGTCAGTCAGTCATGGGTGGCCATGCATCAGTTACACTGTCCACAGTGGCCCTCTGTGAATCATGTTAGATGCATCTGATATTTACTGGAAGGGGGAGGGATAGCTCAGTGGTTTGAGCATTGGCCTGCTAAACAGGGTTGGAAGTTCAATTCTTAAGGGGGCCATTTAGGGAAATAAACCACGTTTAAATTAGGAAGATTTGAACACCATTTCAAAAACTTGCATCACGTGGAAGCAAACTATGCTGCTTACTTTTAAGTTGTGTTAACTGAGAGTGTGGACAGGACTAAATACATCCTCTTTTCTGGCCTTGGTAAATGTCATCTTGCCCCTGCTCCCACCCCATTTCAAACACTGCTGCTAAGATCATTTTCATGGCTTGTCAAGCCAACTACATTACTCCTCTCTTTGCCTTTCTCCACTTGTTCCCCTTTTCACTGCATCAGACACAAACTACTGTATTTGTCTTCACTTTTAAGGCCCTTCATAGCATACCTTCACCCTATCACCTTTTATTTGTTATCAAACCATTGATCTCTGTCGGCACTTTGCCCATGATGCCAGCCTTCTATTCTGTATAGGTTATTATGTATGTTCATCACAATAGTATCCAAGTACTTTCCAGTAGTGCATTAAGCAACATGACTGATATCTGTCACGTGCTTGTTCTCTCATACTCTCCCCATGCACAGAATTGTGTGCAGTGGAATTTTTTGTTACGATTTTTTTAAATTTGTATATATTTTTTTGTTTCATAATATTTATACAGATGGTCTTTTATGTATGTTAGAGAAGGCAAGGTCAAAGACATATGCCTTGCACTTAGAGCAGAAAGTAGGGAGGTTTGTTATGGTCCTTAGTTCCTGGTGCAATTCATTCTACAATTGTGGGCCATCCCCCTGAAAAAGCTCTGCCTCCTGCACAGACAAGCTTTACCCTTGTTGTAGAAAGTTTCATGGTGTCAGAGGAGTAGAGTTGTCAATCACAGTCTTCATCCCAGAGCTTTAGCTGATATGTTAGAGACCCTGGGCCTCTAGGCCATTGAATGCATTGAAGATAAGGACTGAGACCTCGAACTTCATTTGATATTCCATGGGAAGCCAGTGTAGGGAGCAGAAGACAAGTTTGATGTGTTTGCACTGGTGGATTCACATAGGGACCCATGGGGCCCATGCCCAGGGCCCCGGGCCAATTTGG